AGTGTTTGGTACACAAGCGCCATCGCTCCGCAGCTACCTTACAGTCCCTCGGAAAATAGCAAAATAGTCTCGGAGACCATGGCACTTGTATAACAAAAAGTAATTTTGCTATTTTTGATGTCTCCTTAAAACAGCTATATATAACTTTTGATTAAGTGTACTAAATTTAACAAATGTTTTTTTTTATTACTAGGATTTGACTTTAGCTGTCATTTGGGCTGAGTAAGACAATTTTAATCGTACGAGCCGACGTTTTACCTACGTAAACTAGGAACAGACGTCTTTCATCGATTATAAACTAAAATTCCCTTTTACAAAATGTATATTTTGTGTAGTAGAGTCGCGTTAAAAACTTATTGTGGATGATATTTTAGGTGGAAAAATATATTTAAAAAAATTTTCCAAGCAATTTTTTTAAAACAATTTTTAAAATCTTTATATAGAGTAAGTTACGGCAAAATTACCCAAATTAGTATTATAATTTTAATTTATGTACACAATAAGTAATACAGGATAATTTTCTTAAACTGAACAAATAAATACATTACATAATAATCAAGTTAATATTTAGCGGTAATAAATAAAAATACTATTACATTTGCAGACGCTAAAACAGAGGTTTTATTTGAAACTTGTTTCACTACGGATGGAAAGTCAGAAAAAGGTTTCAAAGGATTATATTTTTTAACTTTCGAAATGCAACACGCTCTGGCCTCGTGGCCTGAAATTCTATTTGTTGATACTACGTACAAATTGCTCAAACGGAAATGTCCTGTTATGTTGACTACAATTCAAGATGGCTCGGGAGCATCGCAAATTGATACGCAAAATATTTCCTGATGCATCGTTGTATCTTTGCGAGTTTCATGCGTTGAAAATATTTTCTCGAACTGTCACAACGAGCAAGATGAAGATAACCGCAGCCGAACGAGATGAAGCGCTTAACCTTTTAAATAAGTTACAAAAAGTTCATCAGAAGAAGAATAGATCAGCTTATACAGTAAATTTCTCCAAAAAGTATCGGTCAGCGTAAAAGACTATTACGATGCTAATTGGCATGTTATTAGAAACGAGTGGACGCGATACTCTATGAGTAATTTGAATTTTGATAGTTACACGAACAATTATTCTGAATCAAATAATGCACAAACGAAAGGTGAAATAAAACCATTTAGCTCGTTCAAGGATTTTGTTGAAGGGTTTTTCGTTTTTACAAACGCAGAAACGAAGCTATTAAATATAATGCGTGTGTTGATATATTTAAACGTTCTTTAACTGGTTTGAGATAGGAAGTGTAGAGCATTTTTATCAAACATATTTAACTCCTGCCACTTTCAACAAAGTTTTTGAGCAAATTAAAACAATGACTCCGATGAGTATTTTTAAAATTCAAGAGTTGACACAAGAATGTTGGATTGGACACGGTTACACAGTAGTGAGTACTACAATCACGTCATGTGAGTGTAACTTTTTCACGTCGAATCTATTACCCTGTAAGCATATTTTCGCTGTGCGGAAACACTTTAATCTTAGTTTAATTGAAAAAAGTCTTTGTAACGAGCGTTGGACTGCAGCTTAATGTAAACAAAATCAACCGATGCTACAAAATTTACAACATCTATCTTTAAAACACTCACCACGTAGTTCACCAGTGACTAATATGCGTCAAGTAGCTTCTCCAAAAACCGCTACTCGTGTCCAAAGGATGAATATTTTGAAGCCAGTTGCCAATAATCTAATCAATATAGGAAGTACTGCAACAAACATGATTTTCAAAGACAGAGTGCAGTTGTTACAACATATTGAAACGATGTGGCGTCAAAATAAAGAATTGGATGTGAACAAATTCAAATCTATTTTCAAAATTCAAGAAATTGCCAAAGAAATATTGACTGAAAGCAACGACTGTAGCATGATTATCCCATCCCCTGTAAGAGTTACTGGACGATCTAGACGCTTTGAAAAATCGACAATAGACAGGCAAAAAAATAAAGGAGTTTATTAGGGAGATAACTACTCATTGGCTTTTTTTTTGTATTAATCGTTTTTGATTTTGTTTTTTTGGAATTTTTTCATTAAATACACTAGTTGCAAAAATAACTATGTCAAGAAACTACCGAACAATGAATGATGAGACAGAAAGCGTATTAGGCTACTGCAGCGCTGACCACTCCAGGTGCACTCAAGATACCGAGTGACACCTATCCTTACAGAAGCGGTCGTATGATATGGCAAGGATTGAGATGTTTGCAGTTGCATTATGGTAGTTAGTCAGCGATTCACACCGACGTCTCCCTCGAGTTTATCGTCAAGGTAGCAAATCAACAATACTCCATGGTGCACTGAGGATCGTCATTGCATTTCTTTTGGCTTGCGTCGTCTTTACAAACGCTAGCAAGATGTCGAACTACTTCATACGACAGCCAGGAGGTTCTGGTCACAGGCAGTTGATGTAACACAGCTCGAAAATTGCGTTGGATGAAACTAAGTACTGGATTAACATCATTCTTATAAGGTACTAGCGTGATTATAGACGAGCTGAAAGTAGCACGCTTTATGCGAGTCACGCATCTTCTTCCTGTTTTGGAGCTACTTAAAGGCGTGTCAGCGAAATGAGAAGCCACATTGTTACCAAGCAATCTAGTTAATAGATACGGACCTGGAAAGTTGAGTAGACGCACGTACCCATCATGACCACTCTATCCTGCACAATGTAACGTGTATCGACTTTGGCAGGCGCTAGATCTGAGGCTCTCTTTGGCCAAAAGCGGCATGACAGAAGAATCGAAACCAAAATCGCCAGGATCATAATCATGCTTAAGAATCACAAAGAGTAATATGTAGATGCGTGGTACCGATGTGAGAAGATGTTCAGCTTTGTCAAGCCACACGTAACTGCAGCTTGTGTCATCCAACTAAGATATCATGTATACCTTACGCTAGAACAGCCATATACACAAGAATAGTGTGAGCTTTTCTCCGCTGTCCGAGCTAGATGGTCAGTAGCACATACTCATGTAGATCTTCGAGATCGGTAAGCAGATCGTTGATCGCTTTATCTACGAGCATCCATGCTTTATGTACGTCAAGTAGATTTATTTGCTACAGTTCATCATCGACCATACTTTTTAAACTACAAGGACGTTCCAGACACTACATCAGAAACACTCGGCTCTCACTGTCTGCTCCAACCAGGATTCTTTCTCAAGAAGTTGGTGTTTTCGGTCGAGAAACGAGCTTTTTAGTTCACGCGGGCAAGATCAAGTGAAGCAGTCTCACTTCAGATGAGAACCTACTGAACATGCGGAGCTGCTAAATGCTAAAGAAAATCAGATATAGCTTAGTTATGACCGAGCAACTGTGGAAGCTAGTGGAGGTACGCAAAGCATAATAGTATTCAAAATGTCGCTAATCTCGATCCGACCAGCACCTCATTAGAGACTTGTGCGAGCAACTGCCGGCCAACTCTTCGCCTGCATAGTGACCCTCATCTTCTCCATCAACGACTTAGGATTCTGAAACGTCTAGCCACTTAGCTGCTTTTACAAGGTCTTCCTAGGCTTAATATCAAGTCATGTCAGTTTATGGATCTTTAACTCTATTTGGTACAGTAGCCTGAGTAACGAAAAGTAGTCGATGGTAAGCGTCTTAACCACACACTGAAAAGACTTTTTGGCGTGCATTTGTCAATGCCGAAAAGTAATTGCACTTTTTCTTTCGAGAAAATTTGAGTAGCTCGTCTAAAAGCTTAACTTTACATAAGGGCAGTACAACAGCTTGTAATTAGTAAATAAAGTCAAAATCTGGCCTCATGGCGACTCACTACAGAAGATGGATCAAATTTTTTACTAGTTAATTTGAGAGTGAACTTCGCTTCTTCTTAGGAATTGAATATCAGAAATATAATAAAATATCAATAAGTACATAGATAAGTAAAAAATAAGTTTTCTCGTGACTAACCTAGACCACGTCTTAGTGAATAATTCAGTAACACTAATTACATATTCATAAAACGTATTTAAAAAAATTTTTTTGTTTTTTTAATGTGCTGTTTATTCAATCCAGACATAGATGTAATATTACAGTACATGTACAAATGTATAAAGAAGCTATTTAAACATGTTATCGTACAAATGGTTTTATATACCTGTTTGAGTGTTTATTTTTGTTATTTGAAAATCTTATTTGTAAAGATTTCTTGAATCAGAAAATAAGAAACGCTAAATTGTTCATCGATAAAATTTGTATTTGTTGAAAATAAGACAAACGTTACAAATAGTTAAGAATAATAAAATCTTTAAAAAAAAGAGTATATTTAAATATTGAATAATATTACATCAAATAATGCACATGCACATAAATAAAAACAAAAGAAATGTATTTGGAAATAAAAAGACTAAATTAATAAAGGCAAAAAGTTTTTGCAAAAATAAAAGTGAAATTTATTATGAAAATGATAAAATATTAAAAATAACCCACAAGCGTTTAGTAAAAAAGTTGAAATTTTTAATCATGTTAGATCAAGCTATTACTTAAGATTCGTTTTTTCAAGTATCATTCATATTTATGGCAGTCTGGACAGAAAAAATCTTTTACATCGACTAAAGAATCTTCAGTTATTTTTAAGCAGCTAAAATGAAACCATGAGTAACAAGATTCGCAAATAACAGTTCCATCCCCAGCTTCTAAATGACACATGGGACAAGTATAATTCCTCCCCTTTTTTTTAATCAACATTTTTAAACAAGTAAAAGCTGAAGGAGTTAAATAATTTCTTAAGACATTCATGTCTACCTCTGATGCAGTGAAAATATTACTTAACTCCTTCCCATTAAGTTTAAAAATATCAGAATAATCAAGCTTGAAGGAATGATCAAGAACATCAGGAATGTTTTCAATTTTTATCAGGAATCGTAGCAGGGTTTTAGCTTGACCAACTAGACTCTTGTTGAAAAAAGGCAACAATCTGGGAATTAAGGGTGCTCCACAAGTTCTAGTCTTTATGGTTCCTGGTGGACGTCCCTGACTATTTTTTTCGGAACGCCATCGAATACAATGTCCTTTAGAGCATCGTAGGATTCCAAATTCAATGGTTGCACTTTAGTAATAGATTCTCCCGAAGCCCCTTTGTTTGCATCTAAATTAGTCAGATTCTCGTTGTCTAATGATTATCCCATCCCCTGTAAGAGTTACTGGACGATCTAGACGCTTTGAAAAATCGACAATAGACAGGCAAAAAAATAAAGGAGTTTATTAGGGAGATAACTACTCATTGNATGAACATTTTTTCATGATATTAACAAAAATATTTACCAACTACTTCTATAAATGACGGGGCTTCCATGTTTGCCTCTATACCAAAAGTCATTTCTTTTGACTCGTCCAAATAAGAATCATCAGAACCTGCTTTAAAAATATTTTAATTTTGAGTTTACTCAAAATTAGCACAGCTACAGTACCGGAATAAAAGAAGAAAAATAGAAAATTAAAATAATTTCACGCTATACGTTAAAAAAAATCTAGAATACATGAAAGAAATATATGTAGAAATAAATTCGATAAAAAAAAAAAAAAAACTTACAAACATTGGTGATGATGGAGTTGAACTTTTGTTCACAAAATTTATTATTTTGCATAATGTTTTCTGTTGATAGATTGGAGGCTTGCTCTTTATCACAGCTAGTAGCACGACTTGTCCCTTCAATCTTTAACGCTTTATTATTGACAATGTTCTCTGTGCTTACGTCTCCTTGACAATTCCCTTTATATAGGTCGTTTTTCTTCTAGTTAACAGACACAGGAATATTGCCTTTAGCTTTGAACGATTCGCCATTTCCAGCGTGTTTAGGGACTGCACCCTCTCGGGTTTTTCGAGGTAAATCATTTGTTTCGTCTGTAACACAATATTTATAACAACTAAAAAATGATATAAATTCACTATCAACATGCAAAACTGTATTAGGATCCCAAAACGATACATTACTCGCGCAGTATACACGTACATGTACGTACATAGCTGAGTCAGAAAGAATTAACAGAGGCCTTATGGGAAAAAAATTATTATTTTTTTTTTTTTAATTTTCAACACTCACAACGATTATATAAAAGCACGCAAGTAAAAAATATTTTGAGGGGATGACGGCATTGTAGCTAATAACTTGTCCCAAATGATCGTTACTAAAAGCTTAGATTATTTCTTTAAAAGTACATACGATATACGAGTTAAACCTATTGGATACGTGGAAGTCTATGAGCTTTTAAAGTTACATGATCGTTGTATGCAGGGAAAATATAATTACGTATGTTGTCCCATAAGATCGGTGCTCCCCGACTTGACTATGTATAAACACTTCGAAAGCCACGCAATAATTTGGCATCCCATAATCAACGGCTAAGAGACTTGGTTAAAGTGGTCAATGCAACCGCAGAGGCTATTGAAGCACGAGCGGACGAACGAACGAAAGGTTAAAATCATATATACGGATATACTTATAACCTCTATCATTCGCTTCGCTCGTTCGTTCGCTTGAACACGAAACAATAACCAAGGATTTTTTCCGCGTGTATTTTGTCAAGTTTGGCATATCGTTCAATGTATGCGGCAAATATAAGTATAAACTTACCAACGTTTTCTGGCTCGTAGATATTAATCTCGTCACACTTAATACTGGTCTTTAAATATGACTTTTCCGAGACTACAAAACTTTTCTTTGAAGGAGATCGAACGATGCGAACAATAAACAGACAACTGCATATTTTTGTCAGCTTTGCTCTTCTGTCAGTTTTGGCTCGTGATACATATGTGCCAAAACAAATACACTGCAAGTTTAATAAATGGTATATCAAAGGATCGTTATCTATTTTCCATGTATTACAACGGCTAAGTTGTTTTTTCTCTTAAATCTGATAAGCTTTGAAAAAAATATCTAGATCCTTAGCTGATTGAAACTCCTGCCCAATGCTTAACATCAAGCGATTAGCCATATTTTTTACTAGAAAACCTAGCAGGAAAACAAAGTTGTAGGTACGTGCTTTCCTCAACTGTCAAGCGTGCCGCAAGCTTATCCTGTTACTAACCACGGTCCAACAGCAGTATGCCCCATGCAGTTGCAATGAAGTACCGCCGCTGCCTGCCGCCGCCAGAATCGTGATCGATATTAGCATCTCTTGCATCTTGCATTGCATCTTGAATTGCACGATGCAAGGGATGCTACCAACTTAAACCTTTCATCCTCGGAAAAAATATTTTGTCTGGGAGCCCTGGTCTAGCGGCAATTTCTTATCGGGCGAGTGCTCGCTCGCTCGTACACACTGCCTGCCTCCGTGCCTCGTTGGCCCTTTTAGGCCATGAAGTCGCCAACACAATGTCGCGATCAATAGAAAATAGATGTCGCTCTTAACCTAACAGCTAGAGGCACTTCAGGGCTTCCGTAGTTCAATGAATAAAGACATTGAATGTACCCATACCTAGTAGGTTTGCTATAATACTATAATAAAACTAGCACACTATAATAAAAAAAAATCTGTATCTGTTGCGTATTGTATGTACCTGTATTATTTGCGACTTCGCCTACCGCATATATTATTTCGCGTATTGCATGGAGTACTTCGCGTATGAAATGTAATATACTTTACGAGTCGCATATCGTACCTTAAGGATCAGCCTACCTCGAAACTCGTGAGCATCAGTTACACAGCAGATTCTTGTATTTTGCAACAAGTCTCCCAAGAAGATGGAAGCAAGTATTAGCCATAGTAGTAACCATCGGTAATATTGCAACTAAATCCTCTCAGATCGAATTACTATTAAAATGCACATTCTTTTACTAAGGAGGCAGAGAGTCAACAAATGGCACTTCCATTCTTCAAGAAACATGTAGAGGCCTCACTCTGCTAAGCCAGTGGGCTACCTAATTAGCTAAGAGCAACGCTACCTGATTAGTGCACCCAGTCCAACCAACTCATCAGGCACTTTGGTCTACAGGCCGAACAACCTCTAACCTACACCGATATTAGTATTTTGTATCACGCTGATTCTCCTCCTTAGAACTTACGTTCAAACTTAACACTGGACAACGCACCATCTAAGCTCACTGGTACAGAGAAGACTAATCACCGGCAATGTTTAAACATCTGCTTTGATAGATTGGCATCAGTATTTCATACCACGACAATACTTTTCTTTGAGAATTACGCTTTAACTCTACGTCAGATTCTAGAACTAATTTAAAGAAACTTACCATGCCTTATCCAGGATTGAGTCAACCGTTAGGCTGCTGTCACATGGAACGCAATAGAGCTTTGCAATAAAAAAGAACTAATCAGAGCTATTGCGGACTTTCCTATTTCGAAAAAAAAATTGTTCTGTTCACATGTGCAGGAAAGACCTGTCCATAATCCTTTAGAGCTTATTGGATAGAAAAAGGAAAAAGTACTTATAACCTCTTACTCATACTCACGAGATTAAATGAGCTATGCAGCTGTCTTTCCTGCACATGTAAACAAGGTAAACTTTAATTATCGAAATAGACAACGTAACCCGCTGATCTAAAGTCATAGTTCATTTTCTTTGATACCTTTCGTAGTCCGGTGAAAGGGTGTTTCAAAAATGTTCGATCAAAAAATCAGTATGTAACTAAAACAATTTTAACTATTGCAACTAAGTAACAATAAAACGTCATACTCATGCACCGAGATCTGCAATATTAGCAACTAGGGGCTGAAGTAAAGAAGTCCGCAATAGCTCTGACTAGTTTTTTCTATTGCAGATGGTCTATTGTAAAGCTTTATTGCACTTAATGTCATGGCAGCCTTACGCAAGCATGCAAACAAAATGGATAAGGTGGCTAGACTATTCCAAGCCACTTCAGACGAGTAGCTCCATGTATTGGCAGAACTACTTCAAGGCCCAGACAAGTACAATCAACGCTACAAGTGACGGCCATGTTACGTCGAAGCCAAGTGAAAAAACATAAAGCAAACAAAGTAAAAAGACACTGAACAAAGTGGTATGAGTGTGAGTGTGGATGAAATCGCAGACATTTGTCAATTAAGAATAGACGAATAAATGGTCGAGTATATTTATATCAAGAGTGGTATTTGGGGTATCATTTTATTAATTAGTAATTATTGAATTAATTGCTACTTATAAATTTTATTCGCTTGACATTAGTTTAATTTTTCAATGTCGTATGCAGTTCCAAATTCAAACTTCGCGTTTAAAAGTATCACCTACAAAGTGTCCCCTAGGTGGCAAATACTTGTTTCTGGAAAAAGTGGCAAGAAATCGAGTAGCCTCTAGGGTATTAAAAAAACCTGCGAATAGATTCAAAAGCATTTACCCAGATCATCAGATCTTAAGCATTTACTAGGTTCTGGCTTGATAAGACCTACGCTACAGCAGTGGATTAAGCATTAATTAGTTACAATACATACGACTGTATAATGTTATGCTTAACTCAGTGTGTTCATTACTCTCTTATTTAACTCATTCTTGTTAACCTCTGTCAACATTCTTTGGCTCTATTATCTAATGACTAGAAAAATCAGATAAGTACACTGGTTACGGGTTTTTCTCGACTGATGTGAATTAACGCCGAACCACCCACCAGTGGTACCGGCTTTAACGGTGGTATTGGAATCCAGCATAAGCACTGTCTTACCATGCCTAGAGTCTCTAGCACAGGGCGCTTATCACTCCTCGATCTCAGCAGCGGATCTAAAATTTTGGAAGACGATTCTTACCGTCCCCAATTCTACCTCCCTGTTCAAAGCCACCCTCTGCAATAAGCATGTTTTAGGAAAACTTAGTTCAGGGCCAAGTAACAATTAAAATATTACTATCATCACAAACTACGTATTTAATATTTTTGGAGGAAGAAACGGTTATATAAACAAAATTAAAAAAGCATGCATAGTAACAGCTTTGCCAAAATGGCAGAACCGTGAAGGGCGATTATAAAAAGGAGTCTTAAACAGTTCAATAAGGATTAATTATTTGTTTTAAGGGAATAATAGAAAATGTGAGAAAATAGACGTCAAAGAATAATTTTGATTTAAAGTATGAAGTATAAAAAGAAAATAAGATGTACAAGCTTAGTGATTTGCGAATAGACTTTGAAAATAATCGTATCAAAATGAACGGAATAAATTTTCCAATGACACCTGGAATAATGGGGCTACTTATCAAAAAGCATCCTAATGAATCTCTGTTGACACAGGAGGATTTTGAAAAATACTATTCAATATTACAAACTTCAAGTGTTGATAGAAAAGGGCTTTAAAAAAAGGAGATATATGAACCCAAAATAGAAATAAGTTGAATTAAATGTTCGTTCTCGCGGTCCGTAAATAGGTGGATTGTTGCTACCTCATTATAAAACTGCTCAAATATCGCAACAAGT